GCGAGTATTTCCGTGCACGTTTGAATATTATATTAATGTAATTAATGTAAAAATACCGCCTCCTGGATTCACTTGTACTTTCGCACATGACTGCGGGCAGTTTATGCGAAGACAAACGTAGAAGCGTGTGGTTTTTAGCGAGGTAAAATAAGGCAGCGGGCAGCAGTAAGAGACGCGACGCGACATCTACCAACGAAGGATCGTCAACGTGTCCCGGGATCATTCTCACAAAGCCGTTTTCTCCCGAGAAGGGGGAAACAAGTGGAAAACCGGGCCTGCGCCTGCAGAAGGGCGAGGGCTGGAGGTCGCCAAAGGGCTCGGTCGCCAAAGGGCTCGGTCCCCGTCTGCAGCCGCACGCTGCCTGAAAGGGGCATCACCCCGTGAAAATCCCCCCCTCTCCTTCGCAGCCGCTTCCGAGCAAGTGTCTGCCGGGTGCTTGTTTGAAGCGCGTTTGTCCCAGACTGGGCGGGAGGGTCAGCACACCTGAGACCGGGGGGGGTCAGGCCGGGCATTTTCGAGACCGAGAGCTAGGAGGGGGAGCCGGAGAGAGAACGGGAACGGGAGCGGCGGGAGCGGCGGACCGCCCACCCTTCCCTCCCCGGGAGGAGCGCGGGGTCAGCCGGGACCTGTCCCGCACCCTCTCCTGCGCCCTGCTAAGGCACAGTGCCCCCGCTATCCTGCTGGGCTCAGCTGTTTTGTCTCATAAGGAAATGCACATGGCAGCCAGTGATACGCGAAGGCCCCTTCATCCCGCGTTACACGCCTCGCAGAAAATGGGAGCGATCCCGTGGGATTTTACACGCCCGCGTGTAGGAATAGCTCTGTGCAAAACGAAAGCCCCGTTTCAAACCTCCGTGGGTCTCATCTCGCTCTACATCACCCAGCACCTTCCCTCCAGCCACAGCCCAAGGTTGTCGCTAAGCTGTCGCTGTCTTTCCACCTGCCTCTGCCGGCATTTCCCTGCCTTTCTTGCAGAGGTGGCCAAAGGCTTCTCCGACGCCCCCACCGCGTTGCCCCCCGACCTCTGCTCCGGCTCCAAGGCGCTCTTTGCTCTCCAAACTGTCTACATCGCTTCCCGGGGCGGGGATTTCGCGACTCTGCGCCGCATAACAGGAGCTGGGGGGGAAGACGGGGCAGCTGCGACAGTCTGCCACAGTCCCAGTCACAGCCGCACCACGTCTGTGTGGTTCTAACCTCTGCCACCCCAGACCCACGCTTTCCCCACACCACCTCCTCGAGAAACCCGGCCACCCCCTCACACGGGGGATTTGTCCTTCGGGAAGGGTCGGGATTCTACTTACAAAATATGTTGCCGTATGAGCATCATTCTGCCTTAACAGCTCCTCAGTAGCCTCCTCCCCTCGGAGAAGGAGAGCGGTTTAGCTTCCTTCCAAAAAAAAAAAAAAAAACAAACCCACATAAAAAATCTGCATTTCGAAGTGGGGCTGGGATTTTGTGCCGCCTTGTACTCGGCTAATTTCTTCCTACAGCGGGAGAGCGGAGGAAGCCGGGGATCAGCGAGGCACTACATCCCGCGGAGCCCCTACAGAAAGGCCCTCACGGAGGCCGGGCTCTCTCCGAAGGTGGCTCGGGGAGGCAGGAACCGGGCACGCCGAGGCGAGCACGGCGGCGCTGGGGGCCTCGGCCGCCTCCCGGACCGGAGCTCGGCCGGAGGGGCGGGATGCCGCCGCGCCGGGGCCCCTTTCCCGGCAACGGGAGTCTCTCAAGGGAACCCGGAGACTGAGCACTTTCTGGAGCCTCCCCTCCGGTCTCGGAGAAGGCCCTCATGGCCGGGGGGGGGCCAGGGGCTGCCAGCCGCCGCCTCGGCGG